TAATAAATCATTTGCGCTGGACTTAAACTTTAATAAACGTTTTCATTCATAACGCATCAGTCTTCTACTTACTGCGATGCTTATCTATTGTAAGAGGTGGAAATTCGACCCAGTAGTATAGTACACCATGTTCAAGGTTTCAGTATTTGGTAAACGGTCTGTATGACTAATCGCGTGTGTGCCAAACTGGTAATTATTACACAAGAACACGAAACAACATCCCTTTCTCACAGCCACATAAGACTGCACAGTACACTGTCCCTACCGTAACGCTATGAGAATGAGTTAATACCCATATAAATGAATTTATATAAAACTAAAAAGATTACAATATTAGAACTTCTTGTCATCAAGAAGCATAGCTATGGTCAGTGTTAACAATGGATTCTGACGATGTAGCTTCATCATTAGCACCGATTGAACTCATCATTTGTGCGCATATGTCTTCCGATGCTTCGAAGTATGAACGGATGAGTTTACTTGCCAAGGGTTCACTAAGAGCATGGATTGAGTGGTAGTTGTTAGTGAACTTCTCTAGCAGATCATCACTCCCGGTAGAGATTGACATGTTGTCCACCGGCTGATATGTCTAAATAAGTCTACAATGCTTATAGAGACAAAGGAACACACACTTACCTCCACTTATTAGATCTTTAGAATGTGCAAGGTGTTTCAAGCATTTGCGTACAGAAAATAATTTGTACAGCTAACACTTACCTTCCTGAAAAATGCTCTTAAGACATGGAATGAACAAAGTACTATGTCGGCATGACTGTGCGTAGACTGCACTGCAGAAATTTCGGTTGCTGCCGAATCCATAACAAAAGTGCATGTATCATAAGTACAGCACATCATATCTTTAAAGCATTCCAATAGTTTTACGTTATCTTCGCATCGTTCTTGCCTGCAAAGAGCATACATAACAGTGTGCCCTTGCTCAAGACTATCAGTCACCACTAGCTGGAACAGTGGAAAACTATAGGATAAATTAATTGCTATTCGTTACTTACCCAACTTCCACAACACCCAATCAAAAAGTCCAATTCGAAGTAGCCACAGAAAAACTGCATTGGATTATTATGACAGATTAAAAGACAACACAAGACATTTACCTGTACGGTAGTTATATTGTCCGGTTACCACAACTGACACAGACTGTTTATCTGTCCACGTGTCTATAATGTGCTCTTAGTTCATTGTAATTGTCAGATCCTCTCAATTGTTCAAAATTCTCATTCTCGCTTTCTCCTCTTATCTGAAATCAGCATTTATCTACAGAGTCATCATTATTCAGGGAATCATTGGTGTCCAAATTGCGACTACCTGTCTCAAGTTCACAATTATCTACACCATAAAATTTAGTTAAACACAAAACAGAACTAAAATTAAAATCACTTACTTCATTAGCTTCCACTCGTTACACGTGTCCGCTATCAACTAAATGAGCAGTTCAATTAACAACCACTATCATCCGACTACACATACTCTGAATTATAATTCCCGTAGATGGTCCAGTGTTATCGCGACACATTTTTGAGCTACTTTTTCATTTCTGCTTTGTTCACAGCCAAAATTTGAAATTAATCATCAATAAAATTGAAAGTTTATTTTCCATCTTCATAATTAAGTGAGAAGGGGTTTTTTCATTTTGCTGTACATGGTATCGCGATGTCCTTGAAAATTCATTAATCATGTGCTGCTATAATAGTTTTATCGTATTTGCATCGCAGACTTGCAATTATTTCTACTTAACTATACAGTGAGAGCAGACGAATCATTTATGTTTATATGAAATGACATAATCTAAGTATATATCGTCATAAAAATTGTATTGTCGTCAAGGCTACCAAAACTGCGCTACAAGTAACGATACCATGATAACATTTATCGCTTTTCCCTTCTTTATTAGAATTTTGGCTGATTTTCACTGTTTTGTTCGACTTTTGTGGCAAACATAGGCTTATAATGAAAATATTAGCTGTCCTTAGTGTTGTAAATATTATGTATATACTGTAGATGGTTATAACACATACCAATATGTTAATATCACCTTCGACATTTAGATATATATGCTACCAAATCATTATATTGCAGGAAATAAGTCATAATCATGCGAAAGAGGTACAATTATGTGGAGATTTTACCAGAGACTAAGCTAAGATTACTTTATAAAACTATTTTAGCTTAGAGGTGGTATACTACCTCTTGTACAGAGTTCCAATGTTTAGGCTGCCGGTATTCTTGCAAAGATAGCTAATAGTAGAAATAAGTACTATTATAAAACAAAAGCATCGGAAAGTACGATTGGGTAATCAAGATATCTTGATCTCAGGTGACCAGATTGTGTGAGATCGTATATAATGATCTTTGAAAATCACCGAAGGCCTGTCTAGCTTATATGCTGATGCCGTAAATGACAATTACTTATACCTTACGTGAGACCAAAATAAAATAGGCATCAATAATTGCAGATCACACAGGACGATTCAAAGTAAGTTCACATAGTAGTCTTTATATATGTTCATTGTCTAAGTTTCCGAAGTGCAACCTGTCTGAAAAACGAAATAATACAAGCCATGTATGTAGCAACCCAGGCTTTCTTAAGCAACGCAAGAGTTAAAGCAAATAAGCGTGACTGACTATCCAAAGAAAGAGTGTGCTAAATGCACTTTCGATTTGTAATTGAATACCGGTTTCTCTTTCTATATTAGTTTTGGGTAAATATTTATACTGTAATAGTTATTTCCTGTCTATCTTATTTCCAGCTGGCTTCGCAAGTGTTCACAGACGTAACTGGAACGATTCTTAAGAATTGCAAGTTATTTATTAATAAATCATTTGCGCTGGACTTAAACTTTAATAAACGTTTTCATTCATAACGCATCAGTCTTCTACTTACTGCGATGCTTATCTATTGTAAGAGGTGGAAATTCGACCCAGTAGTATAGTACACCATGTTCAAGGTTTCAGTATTTGGTAAACGGTCTGTATGACTAATCGCGTGTGTGCCAAACTGGTAATTATTACACAAGAACACGAAACAACATCCCTTTCTCACAGCCACATAAGACTGCACAGTACACTGTCCCTACCGTAACGCTATGAGAATGAGTTAATACCCATATAAATGAATTTATATAAAACTAAAAAGATTACAATATTAGAACTTATTGTCATCAAGAAGCATAGCTATGGTCAGTGTTAACAATGGATTCTGACGATGTAGCTTCATCATTAGCACCGATTGAACTCATCATTTGTGCGCATATGTCTTCCGATGCTTCGAAGTATGAACGGATGAGTTTACTTGCCAAGGGTTCACTAAGAGCATGGATTGAGTGGTAGTTGTTAGTGAACTTCTCTAGCAGATCATCACTCCCGGTAGAGATTGACATGTTGTCCACCGGCTGATATGTCTAAATAAGTCTACAATGCTTATAGAGACAAAGGAACACACACTTACCTCCACTTATTAGATCTTTAGAATGTGCAAGGTGTTTCAAGCATTTGCGTACAGAAAATAATTTGTACAGCTAACACTTACCTTCCTGAAAAATGCTCTTAAGACATGGAATGAACAAAGTACTATGTCGGCATGACTGTGCGTAGACTGCACTGCAGAAATTTCGGTTGCTGCCGAATCCATAACAAAAGTGCATGTATCATAAGTACAGCACATCATATCTTTAAAGCATTCCAATAGTTTTACGTTATCTTCGCATCGTTCTTGCCTGCAAAGAGCATACATAACAGTGTGCCCTTGCTCAAGACTATCAGTCACCACTAGCTGGAACAGTGGAAAACTATAGGATAAATTAATTGCTATTCGTTACTTCCCCAACTTTGTTGGTCTGATAAGTCGAGTCAATACATATTACCTCTGGGAACGCGTGGTAAACAGCTACTTGCCACCTGCGACTGAAGCAAATCATAGATATGTTTCCATGTTTACTCAGTACTTTATTTATTTATTTATTAATTTGAACACATAAATATTGGTACACGGGGGCACCAAATATATATGCGCCACACACTCAGTACTTTAACTTCAGTGTTTGCCTGAACGCGCTGTCAAATGTTATTGATATTTTTATTGTCTAAGCTCAGTTAATTACAATGTGAGTTCAACAACCTGGGTATAACTGTGAACGCATTCTAGAGATATTATACTTGGTAAGCTGTTTATGGAACTTCCAAGAAACCAGATGCCGTAAACTACGAGTCGGCGTATTACTCATTAGAAACGTTCTTATATATAGACCTTCACTTGACGTCAACTTTCGTCTCAAGGAATTACAGAAATATATCCATCTGTGCAAGGATGGTTGTGCACGGTCTTGATAGAGGTGACTTTCAGCTCACTATTTACTGCACGGACCCAAAATCCAGATTGACAATGGCAATATTTCGACCTGAAGGATAGATTAATTTGGAGTAAGGTATACGTAGATGACCGACGTCGTCTTTTTTGTCTAGATTGTGGGGGTGAGTTAGAAGTTGTATGCTCTTCGGAAGAATGATGATCAATATCATTAACTACATCCTGAACGCAAGCATGACTCTGACGAACTCCGTTTACGTCAATATGTACAGACATATCTCACGAAAAAATACTTTAGAGTTGGGTCATCATCGTTCTTTTTACATACTGACATAACGTACTTAGTATGCGCATACTACAAAATAATCATTAACCACAGAAGTCATATTACCTTATGTACTTCTTTCAAACAGGTCTCAAAATTGTCCCAAGTGGTAAATCTCCGAGATAACACAATATCATTGAAGATTCGTCCTATATTATGCATCATCACGATGGTATCACCTTCGTTACTTGAAGGATGGACGTTATCAGACATGGTGCGGCTGAACTTACTTCAAATCTAAAAATGTCTTGATTTGACCGCCTCTGAAAATCTTCACGCATTGACGATGTGACGCACCAATCCTCTTGAGATCGTTTGACCTTCAAGTGCTCGCAACCTCCATCAGTGGACCATACATCTGAAGGGTTTCCTGGCCCTTATTGGTTGCTGTCTGACGTATTCGGTTAGTCTCGATGATTTTACTTTAATTCATACTGGATTTCTTATGACGAGTCTTCTCTAAATAAAGCCGAAAACGCAATTCAATGATTTTTTATATGTTGCTCGCGCATGTAGTAGCTTTTAGGTTACTGGGTGTATACATGATTGTTCATCTGGCTCACTTGGCTTGGAGCTCTATCGTATTTCAACACACTCCACTACAATACTCAATACTTCTCAAGGATTTTATGAGGCGTTTAGTCAACCTATAGTATTGATACACAGTCATCTGTTTCTTTCGCCTTCTTAATCTCCCTATTTTGGGGAAAATTTTGCCGCAATAGAAAACTTTGGGAAAATAGCACAAACACCCTGAAATTTCCCTAGGTCTGTGAAACATCTGCAAATTTTTTGGAAAATCCTGGGATTACCCATGAATCTTATAAAACTGGTGTTTTTCTCCAAAGTAGGGAGATCGGGTTTCGATACTGAAACTGGGTATCCTCCAATCAATTTCAATGACGTCAAATAATACCAGGAATTTCTGTCAAAGTCATCAAAATGCATAAGCAAGACAGTTTAAATCAAGTTCTCTCCAACTATAGAGACGACTAAAATTCTATCCTAACTTTTCCTTACCAGTCTAATTCCTCCTAAGAAGTCTATCCTCCTTCAAGTCTTTCATCAGCCGGATTAGGGATCCTCCATCATATTCGCTTCCAAAAGTTGTCCTGAGCTAATTATGTTGAACAGATCAGTTACCTCGGGTTTGTTATTTTGTTATGGTGATTTATATTAGTTCTAACAAGCTTAGTTGTAAAGATCTATAATTTTTCGTGCTAATCACGAAGTAACGTGTTTTTCGAGCATCGAGAAGACCCACCTAGTAATCCCAAATCGTGACAAATACTTCACTATAAATCTACATATTTGATAGCATACTCCAAACTTATAGATTCCAGTGTGGGTTTGTTGCCACTTATTCTCCAGTAGTGTTGGTATTTCGTACCATTCATACTTTCCTCTATCTCATGTTGTCTTCCCCGAACACTAACACCAATATTATCACCTCCACAGTTTATTTAGCTTTCGTTTCCTTAACGTGCTAACGATTTTAGCCAACATAAGTATCTTTTCCCCACTTTCCCCAACCGTAACTGCTACATTGACTTGGTGGTTGGGCTCGAGTATCGTTGTTACCCAACCGAGCTATATTAGGCGGGCTACATTCATTTGGGTCTTACCATTCCAGACAAGTCGGTTGGAGAATGGTAAGACTAAAAACATCAAATTAAGTTCCGAGGGCGAAGTTGCACTTCTGACTGTATCCGTCGAACGACAGCATCCGCAGCGATTCTGCTTCCTCAAAAAGGAAGGGGAGGGTTGGAAAAGGCCGACCTTAAAATATCACTCCTCACCTTACTGCACGTACTTCCGTCTACGGGGGTAGGGCTTTATGGAGTGGGTAGCTAACCCATCAAGAACTTCCCTTAAAGAGGTCATGGGCGACCGGCCTCAGGTGGATGTTCACTGGGCTCTGTGTCGACGCTTCCAGGTTTCTAAGACCACTAATTCAGCTACTTTTTCAGGTCCCTCAAGAAATATCCCTCTAGGGTGTGAGCAACTGGTCCTTGACAGCCGCTCCCATACCTCCATCAGCACTCGATATCTTGTTGATATCGACCCTGTGACATCTTCGTCTGGTCTTGCTGGAGTTGGTGTCGCACTAAGCGCTAGAGCTGAGGCAGCACTAATCGGTTGGATCCCCATTAACAGTCAGTCAGTAACAACGTGGAACTTCGTACGTACGTACATCAGTTCGAGTTGCCATACCACATTAGCACAGAGATTCAGTTATCGATTCAAATCCCATAGTGGTAGAGGTACTGAAAGTATAAGTAGAGATAGGGGACATGAAGGTTTGATGATGTTATTAAAGGAGTATAATCCAGTGGAATAAATTGGGAAAGAAAATAAAGGACATGAAGAATTCAGAAAATTAGAGTTTAAGAGAACACAAAGAGTGGATGCACCTGCGCCATTGCAAACGATTTTGAGCCATGTCATTCAAGGTCTCTAACCATCGGTTGTTATCGTCTCGCGGACCCCAACCAGGTAGTCTACACCTGCCAACATGACTCAGTCCACTTGTCAGTGACTTCATGGATTTGTGCCATGTTTTGGTCTGGCCACCCCTAGCTTTCTTCCAACCTACTCCTACACCATAAAACATCGCTCGTCGCGGCAGTCGGTTGTTGGGCATACGTAACACATATCCCAGCCATCTCAACCGATCAAGTTTCACTACTTCATCAATTGATTTGCCATCCTTACCTAGTGCCCGTTTCTTAACAATTGCATTACTTACTCGGTGGTCCCAGGATATACGAGCAATGTTTCGAAGACACCTATGGTCGAATACTTGTAACGTACAAATATCCTCTACTCTTACTGGCCATGTTTCACTGCCATAAAGTAGGACGGAACGAACTGCTGCGCAGTAAACACGTCTTTTCGTTGATAGACGGATATCTCGCCTACGCCACAAATGACGCAAGTTGGCAAAAGCTAGTCGAGCCTTTTGTATCCGTGCTGAGATTTCGTCACACACCAAACCACAAGGGCTGATGAGACTTCCGAGATAAGTGAAGCGGTCGACACACTCAACTACGTCACTCCCTATCACTAGTTCGGGTGTCGATGCAACCCAATCCTGAAGCAACATTTTGCATTTCGAGGGAGAAAATCGCATGCCGAACATGCTTGCATTGTTGCTTAGAGTGATCAGTAGACTCTGCATTCTGTCAGCGTCTTCACCAAATAGGACTATGTCATCGGCATATTCTAAGTCAACAAGTGGATCTCCCGGTAGAAGTTCAACCCCTGGAAATTTAGATGAGGAAGTGTCATCTCTAAAAGGACGTCAACGACTAAGTTAAACAAGAATGGAGAGAGTGGATAGCCCTGACGAACACCACTTGAGGTAATCAATTCTGATGACAGTTCACCATAAGCTCTCACTCAACCAGTTGTGTTCGAGTAGAGAGCCTTTATAAGGTTGATGTACTTCAGTGACAAACACTGCCATAGAACCTCACGATCAACTGAGTCAAATGCCGCCTTAAGGTCGAGAAATACTACCATTGTGGGGCGTCTGAATGTGTGTCTATGTTCTAGGACCTGACGTAATGTGAATATTTGATCAATACAACCACGTCCAGGTCGAAAACCAGCCTGGTTTTCTCTAGTCTGCTCTTCACGAGCTTTGGTTAGACGTCGAAGTATTATTGAAGCTAATATTTTAGACACTATATTAGTCAAACTAATTCCTCTGTGACTGTCACAGGAGGACTTTTGTCTTTTCTTATAGACTTGTACAATCAGTGATTGAGACCAGTCAGATGGGATTACGTCCAGTTCCCAGATTCTACCTAAGACCTCAGTCAATCTCGCTGCTAATACTGGACCGCCATCCTTAAAAATCTCAGGGGTAAACCTGTCAGGGGATCCCCATTAACAGTCGGTTATGTGCTGTTAGATTACAAAGTACCATCAAAGTGAGAAGAAATCGGCGTGAGAAACGATGTCTTTTCGTCATCTCCGCCTATGCCCCGACAGATCACAGCCCGGATGCAATCAAGGATGAATTCTACCACCAGTTAACTGTTCTTCTCCAGAAAGTGCGTTTGACAGATATTGTAGTACTAGCCGGAGACTTGAATGCTCAGGTCGGGCGTCTAGGCACTGAAGAGAGTCGTTTAGGTGGCCAATGGGGACTTGTTGGTCGCAGCACAGTTAACGGGGAACGTCTACTGCAACTCTTGAAACGTTTATTTATTTTAACACATAGGTATTGGTACAAGGAGGCACCAAATACATATGCGCCACACGAATCTCGATTGATTTGTGTGAGGGCTGTGGTACTGCTCGGGTGCCCAAACCGAAGCGGGTGGTTTTCTTAGGGGGCCACACCCCGAGCCTTTGACCTGAACGTCTGATCCACAAGGCAGTGGAGCATCGTGAGGAGATGCAGTCCCATGGTAGCCGGTGACCAACGATTGGTTCATACGCCATTTGTTCCTTCAGGATACTGGAGCCCATGTGCACCATTGGTTTGGGATCCGGTTAAAGCGCCGGACATTCGCTTTTCGTCCTCTCATTTTCGTAAACAACACCCCCGCCACGTGAAGGCAGTGAGTAGGACTTCCCTGGCAGGGGCTATGTACGCGTGGCCATGTGAGAGCATTTCGAGAGGGAGAGCGGACTCTCCCCACTCTCGGCCGTACCAGGGCATTTGGGGGCCTTGAAACGTTACAAATCACCGGGCCCAGACGACTTACCTCCGGCTCTTTTTAAAGATGGTGGTGACTTTCTGACTAAGGGACTGACGACGTTGTTTACAAAGGTCTGGGAACTAGAGTGTGTACCAACGTCATGGAATGAATGGATAGTTGTCCCTATCTTTAAAAAGGGTTCACGTCGTTCCTGTAACAACTATCGGGGGATAAGTCTACTTCCAATTGCGTCCAAGCTATTGGCTTCCGTCATACTTCGTAGGTTGTTCAGAACCCGAGAAGGATTGACTCGCGAGGAGCAGGCTGGGTTTCGTTCTGGTCGAGGTTGTATTGATCATATCTTCACCCTCCGCCAAGTGTTAGAACACCGCCATACTTATCAAAGGCCAACAATCGTAGTGTTTGTTGACATCAGGGCTGCCTTCGATTCGTTGGACAGAACTGTTCTCTGGGATTGTCTATTGAAGAAGGGTGTGCCTGAGAAGTTTATTAACATCCTAAAAGCCCTATACACAAACACCTCAGACAGAGTGAGGGCATACAACCACCTTTCTCCATTGTTCCATTCGAGCAGTGGAGTTAGGCAGGGTTGCCCAATCTCACCATTCCTCTTCAACTTTGCCATCGATGACATTCTGGAAACAGCTCTGACGGATTTAAGTAATGGTGGAGTGGATCTGTTGCCTGGAGAAAGACTTCTCGACCTTGAATATGCGGATGATATTGT